TTTAACGCAAAAATATTTAATATTCGACAGACACACACGGGAGTCAAACACAAAGACCCTTTCTCAAAATGCAGGCAATAACTTGCGGTTAGGCGTGAAAGTAAATCATGGATTCAAAAGCCACGTCATGAAAAACGTTCCGAAACTTTTGATCTTTTGTTCCAACCAAAAATTCCTACTTGAATGAAGCCTGGAATTTCAATCAGGCCACGCCAATTTGGATTTCTAAAAGCAAAGAAAAATTAAAATTTAAAACAATTGTAATTATATAAAGTTCCACATACATTAACTCAAAGAAGTGTACTTCATTGTAGAGGGGGGCATCTCTTTAATCCGGCAAATAGAGGAGACGAAATTTCGGAAAACAAAGATCTGCCTAAGTAAACAGCATCTCTGAATATAAGAGTAAAAGTTTTCTTTGTAAATTTTTCTTTGCTTTTTAGCATTTTATCGAATTTGATGATTTTCATAACAGTAAAATAAAATGGATTTCATAAAAATTGAACTATTGTCCCCATCGTTGTTGACATATTTATCACAACGTTTCGGCCGTTGTACGCTCCGGCCTTATTCAGGTGGTTGGAATGTCGAACTGAAAACTTTATTTCGCTCACTGTGGTATTGTTCTAATTCCACGTGCCATGTCTAATGAATGTCAGTTATCAGTTATCTCCTGTTAATTCCCCTCTTCAAGTTCTCCACCGCCTTAGCCAAGTATTGAAATCACACTATTTGGGTCCTGTCATTGGATCTAACTAACGCTTTTATCCACTGTGCCATGTGTCCTTGAGGGCATCTGTGTATGAATTTCTGGGTATTATAAATCTAATGTCTTCATTCCCGTTTTTACCGGTGCTCATATTGCAATTTTTGCTGTTATTATCGCTTTTCTATTAGTGGTTCCCATTAGACATGGCACGTGGAACTAGAACAGTCTACTCCAGTGGGCGAAATAAAGGCTTCAGTTCGACATTGCAACCACCTGAAGAAGGCCGGAGTGTACAACGGCCGAAACGTTGTGATAAATATGGCAACAAAGATGAGGACATCAGTCCGAATAATGTAAATAATGCACATAATGCCTCATCTCAGAAATATAGACAGATAAAAATTTATATAAATACTTCACAATCATTTTAATCGTCCTCTCCTTTTTTGAAATGAAATTTTTTCACGATTTTCACTTATTATTATTATTACTTGAGAAGTATACGATCCAATAAAAAAAAAAGAAAAGACACATTATGTCTCTCTTCTTCATGTTATGTTTTAAAATGGCATACGTGTATAAAAATATAAAAATAACATACGAGTTTTTGTAAAAACGTTGCTTGTTTTGAAAAAAAGTTTGTGCAGTTAATCAACGAGACAAATCGAATAAAACAACAAAGGAAATGCAACTCAAACATGAGTAGTATGATAGGGTACTTCGTATCTTTTCCTTTAGTAAATGCAATTAATCAAATAATCTAGTATACATTTTATGGGACTCTGCTGTTATTTTATTCACCCACCACCCGAGTTAGGACGTTGATAATTTGAGTATGTTATTATCTTATTCCGTTTTAAGGACTAAAAATTCGGTGGATTCTGGGTAATTTTCAAAATGTTTACTTTAAGATCTTCGTTGAAATTACTGTCGTTTACGCAAGTTCTGTTGATAGCTGCGGCCATTAAATGTTTTGTTTAATTTTCTGTTGTAGAGGTCACGTAAATCAAGTTATGTTTGGTACACTGGGCAGCATTTATCAAATGGCAATCAGTTCAATTACTGCCTTTTGAAGAAATCGTAATATTTCTCTTTGAGTTTGTGATGGATTATTATTATTATTATTATTATTATTATTATTATTATTATTATTTCCTTTGATTTATGTTGTATACACATTTTCTTCCGGGTCCCAATTAAACTAAAATCACACACATCTTAGTAATGTGTGAGCTGTACTTGTGAGTACAATATTTTGTATTTCTTTAAAGCACTGGCTATGAGGAATTCCATCAATGAATCTATCGGAACCTTTTTCAAATCAATCCGAGAGGTCCGACCACAATTGGAATTGTTGATGTCCTCATGTGCCACATTTTTGAGATTTCCATTCAGGATCCTTGAATTTTGAAATTTTTTCAAGATCTTCAAAGACACATTATAATTTGCAGGAACTGCTATGTCAATAGGAAAGAACATTCTATTTTTGTAGTCTTTGACAACGATGTCTGGGCGATTAGCTTTGTCTGTGTGTATTGTAAATTTCCACAGACTTGTTACATGTCCCATATCCCTAACAAGGTTTGGATAATGTTCATACCAGTAACTTGTGGTTTTCTTCTTGTAAAAATTGCATATTTTCCAGTGCAAATATTGTTCCACTCTATCATGCCGAGTTTTATAACCAGTGGCTGTTAACACTGTGCAAGCTGCCAGGTTTCCAGATATTTTTGAATACTGATTGTTGTGGTTTTGTAAGACTGTTCTAGTTGAACTAATACTCTTCTTCCTTCGGTTCTGGTCACATAGAGAAGAACAACATCAGCCTTTGGATGATGCCTGCGGTGGTAAGCGATAATCTTTCTCGTTTTTGACATTCATTCGCTTAATGTCAGTTATTGTCCAATTAAGAATGTTAATCATTAAGTGATACGGTTTCTGTTAATTTTGTAAACGTCTTTGTTTGGAATTCTGTTGCGCCAATCGAAAAGATTCCACCTCGGATGGTTCCCTCTAAAAGCAACAGGGTTTATGAGAGAAATATCCTTTACTGGATCTCATGAACGGTCGCTACAGAATCGAAAACAGAAACATTAGTCAAGAGCAGATCAATGATAACTCTTACCAAAATAATAAATGATTAAAAAGTGGAAACATATATAGTTTAAGATGTGTACTAAAATTCCATATTATATAGTTTAAGATGTGTACTCTAATTACATTTTATATAGTTTAAGATGTGTATTGAAATTAGCATTGGAGAAAGGTATGTTAAAACGAAATCATTTATATATGATCATTGTTAGTCATCTAACGAAGACTTGAACAAGAAGTATCTATATTTTGGCTGGTTTGTTTTTTTTACTGTTTACCAACCTTATCCGCAGTAGCTTTGTAACGAATATATTGTAAAATTTTGAAGATAAATTAGTGCACTTTAAATACATTTTGCTTTAAATTATCTTTTTATACAAAACTCATTATGTATTTAATTATTGATTGATTTGTTTTTTTACGGTTTATCAACCCTCTTCAGGTTATTTAATACCAAAAGATATTTTTAGATTTTACTAATTTTTTTTTTTTTTTTTTTTTGAGAAAATAAGGATTTACTGATATGAGTCTTACTAATTAATTCATTGCTGGAGGTCGAAGAGATGGATTATTTACTTTCCCAAAATTTAAGTGTAACTGAATATAACGACCTTGATTGGGATTGGAACTCGGCTCTTCGATTTCCAATTCCGAGCCGTTATTCATTACACCACCTACATATTCGTCCAATCTTTTCAGAAACCGGTATTCCCAAGCGGTCCCCCATCTAGGTACTGGCCCGGAACATCATTGCTTAAATTCGGTGATCAGATGATAACCGCGAAGCGACGAGGATTTGTCCAAATATTAACGTGTAAACTCAAGAATATAGAATTAATAGATATTATAACTCCATTTATATTCGATACTGTGTTTAAACAAGCTCTCCGATATCAAGGACACATGAGTTCAAGACTTGCTGAGGCTTCTTCTTTATACCTAATTCAATCAGCTGCTCAGTCTGAAGCGATAAAGAGTACATCACCTTGTGCGAAACAATTTTTCTCTCCCAAATCTATCTTACAT